TATCCAGAGACCATTAAATCTTTTTTCTTTCTTATGACTAGACTTATCAAAACTCTCTTTTGTGCTCTTGTTGATCAATGTGGAGCATAATTCTATCATAAATAATTTCTTCTTACGGCATCATAGACTAGCACATACATCTACTACTATCATGGATCACTTGCCTTTTGTAATAAAAAATCAAAGGAGCAATAAAGCTTGTGATATATGTTCAATGTCTAAACAGCAAAGACTTCCTTTTCATATCAGTACTAGTTCTTCAACAAAGATTTTTGAGCTTTTACATGTAGATATTTAGGGTCCTAATAGAACAGCTTCCATATCTGATGCACATTTTGTTTTAACAATTGTTGATGATTTTAGTAAAACTATTTGGACTTTTTTAATGAATCATAAAGCTCAAACAGTTAGAATTTTACAAAAAAAAATTTTACATGATTAAAACATAGTTTTCAACTAATGTTCAACAAGTAAAAACAGATAATAAAGCTGAATTTTTTAGTCATAAACGTCAAATATTATTTCAGAACTCAAGAATTATGCATCAAAAGTCGTGTGTTCATACTCCACAACAGAACAGTGTTGTAGAGAGGAAATACAAATACTTATTACAAGTTGCAAGATCATTGATGTTTCAATCAGCTTTACCAATTAAGTTTTCGGGTGATACTATTCTTACAGCTACATATATCATAAATAGACTATCAAGTTCAGTTTTAATGTGGAAAACACCATTTGAAATGTTTTTTTAAAAACTTCTAGATTACACACATCTAAAATATTTTGGTTATTTGTGTTATGTTACTAATACTCATCCAAGAAAAGATAAATTAGCAAAAATGTATATTTATTAGCTATGCTCCTGGACATAAGGCATTTAAGGTCTATGACATGGATATTAAACAAGTTCTTATATCTAGAAATGTAATTTTTCATGAATATGAATTTTTTTTCCGTACTTGTCCTTCTGATCTTGTTGATACTCCATTACCAAACATTCCTTGTGTCATTGATGATTCATATACAGACCTTCTTAATGAGCATAAACAAACTTTGACTGTTTCTTTCAATGATACTAATTTATGTTCTTCCTTGGTACCACAAAATGAACCTAAACCTATTCTTAGAAAAAGCACCAGAAATCGTACATAACCAACCTAGATGAATGATTATGTCTCAAATGTGATGAATGAATAAAATTTGACTCATGCCAAGAAGCAATCTAATTCTGATCCTGTAAATCATTTTGCCTCCAATTCTCCACATACACCTAATACTTTTCCTTATCATACAAACACATGTTTTGCACCCACATACATTGATTTCTTGGCCAATATTACTACTATTAAGGAGCTTGATTCTTATGATCAAGCGAAAACCAGTGTGGAATGGATAACTGCCATGAAACAAGAATTGAAGGCACTTGAAAAAAATCACACTTGGGATGTTGTTGACTTACCGGCAAGAAAGAAATCCATAGGATGTAAATGGGTAGATTGAAACAATATGGTACAATTGACTGTTATAAAGCTAGATTGGTAGCCAAAGGCTACAATCAACTTGAAGGAGTTGATTACACTGAAAGTTTTTCACCAGTAGCTAAGATGGTAACTGTTCGTTTATTTCTTACTCTTGCAGCCTCTCATTCGTGGTCTTTACATCTATCAGATATTAACAATGCATTTTTGCATGGTTACATTGATGAAGAATTATACATGGTGCCAACTAATGGTTATTCTAAGACTGGTCCTAGTAAAGTTTGCAGACTTAGACGATCATTATATGGTTTGAAGCAAGCTTCATGTCAATGGAATTATGAGCTCACAGTCCAGTTGTTACATTATGGTTTTACTCAGTCAGCTAATGATGCTTGTTTATTCTTTAAGTCTTCAGCCATTGATTTTCTGGCTCTTTCGGTATATGTTGATGATGTTCTTCTTACTGGAACATCAGAGGCTGCTATACATTATGTTAAATGATTTTTACATGATAAGTTTACTATCAAAGATATGGGATATGCACGATATTTTTTGGGGTTGGAGATTGCTTGTTCAACTGAAGGCATCTACGTTAATCAAAGAAAATATGCTCTTGATCTTTTAAGCGATACAGGTCTTTTAGGTGCAAAAATAGTTATTACTCCATTTCCTAAGGCTATCAAATTATCACATGAAGATGCTGGTGAAGTACTATCTAATCTAGATAGGTATAGAATATTAGTAGGCAGACTTCTGTATTTAGGCTTCATCAGGCCTGATATTGCCTATAGTGTCCAATAGTTGAGTCAGTTTGTCAATCGTCCATGCCAACAACATTGGGAAGCTGTTGTTCATGTGCTTAAATACTTGAAGAGTTGTCCCTCAAAAGGTTTGTTTTATCCATCAAACAGTAAGAAATCTCTTGAAGCCTTTTGTGATGCAGATTGGGCATCTTATGTAGACACCAGATGTTCTTTGACTGGTTATTTAATATTTTTTGGAGCTTCATTAATTTCCTGGAAGACCAAGAAACAATCCACTGTTTCTAGGTCTTCTGCTGAAGCTGAATATAAGAGTTTGGTGTTAACAGTATGTGAACTTAAATGGATTGACTCCTTGCTGCATGATTTTCACATTTCTATTCCTTTTCCCATTCCTCTTTGCTGTGACAATCAAGCTGCATTACAAATTATTGTTAATCCTGTTTTTCATGAATGAATAAAGTATATTGAGATAGATTGTCATTTGGTTCGGGATCAGTTTAGCAAGTTTTGTTGCTCTCAGTCATGTTTCTTCCAAACAGCAAGTTGCAGACATCTTTACGAAGTCATTGCCAGTACCACTGTTTCAGCATTTTATTTCCAAATTGGGCTTGATTGATCATCATCAAGCTCCAACTTGAGGGGGGGGTGAAGATTATTCATGCTGATGTAGTTTAGCTAGTTAATGGCTGTTATTTCAATTTGTATAGTTACATATTTCAGTTTATATAGTTACATATAGTTAGTTTGTTAAGAGTTGCTGTTGTTCTTCTTCTTTCTTTATATATAAAGAACACAAGTCCAGACTCTGCTTTGAGAATAAAAAGATTGATTCTCTTCTTCTATATCTGGTATTGAATTTATCACAGACCACAGCTTTTGCAATTCAAATTCGATATTTTCATTATTGGTGCTTAAAGCTTTAAATACATGAAGAGTTAACTGAAAAAATTCCTACTTTTTAAGCAATTACGGTAATAGAAAAGAGCATGAAATCAAAAATGGGATAATAGAATTGACTGCCTCGATCGGATCTGCCGCAACGGCTATCTTCCTCACATTCTACTGTTGCAAATACTCTAAGTTCTGTCTTCACTTCCAGTGGAAACTTCTAGTGTAACAGAGTGATATCATATAAGGTACCTATAATCAGTACTGTCCCACATAATTTGGGTTCCTAAACCCATAGCCCATGATCTGAAACACAAGTCCTGACCTTTCTCCCAGATCTTCATTTAATTGGCTCTTGAACTCAAGTTTGAAATGTTGTTAATAAGAAAAAATCCATATAAAGCATTGAAGTGTTCCACGAGATGGTTAATAGCCGTCAAATTGAGTGCAATACTGTCTCACAAGTGGAGAATAAGAATACTTCAATTATATCTTAAAAATGCGATGAGTAAAGCATAAAAAGAAGTACGTTTAATGCTGAAAATGGTAAGTCAAGCTACAATTATTCTGAACATATTTTCACTATTCTCTAATAGCATCACTCTAATAATCACTATTCTCCACATTTTAATCTCATCAAAATGAATGGCCTCCTAGCAATCATAAGTTAAAATGTGGAGAATAATGATCACCGTTTTATCTTTTTTCTTTGGTTCCTTCATCCATTATTGCATCTGCCAACTGTTTTCTGCTTGTCAAGATGATTGTCATAACATGTTCATTTGGATTCGTCTCGATGTTACTCGGCAAGGTACCTTGAGCTCTATCATTGATCATGCCTGCCAATTGCGCCATTTAGATTTTTAAGTTCTTGATCGATGCTTGCTAATTTTGTAACATTAATTATTAATTCTAAATTGCTGCTTCAGCCTTTGTTGCAAACTCTGTTGTATTCTTGTAAATGGCTGTGATTATATTTTCAAGTGAGGGCTTCTTTTCTTGAGGTTGAAATTGTAAGAGAGGCGCGATTACATTTTGTTGATTCTTCTATGACGAATTTGGATAATATCTCATCCCAAAATTGTACGTGTTGGAGTTTGGGTTGTGTGGTGGTCTGCCCTGTCTAGTAACAAAAGCTCACTTGTTGTACCTCATGTTTTTGAAAAAGATATTCAAATAAATCCTACACATGAGAATTAACAATATTAATACTCTTTTGATCAATTTTCTTAAATAAAGATTTAATTTTTTCATTAAAAATAATTAAAACATCAATCTTATATAATCCAGCATTCATTTTGGGTTGACTTCTTTCTGTTGGCCATTGATAGTTGTTCATGGTCATCTCTTCTAATAATTCATAAGCATCGTCTGTGGATTTCCCCATCAAAGCTCTTCAAGTAGCTACATTGATTATGATCCTTGTTTGTTGGCTCAATCCGTTATAAAAGGTTTGAACTAATAACCACTTAGGTAACCCGTAATGAGGACATCTTTTAATCAACTATTTGAATCGTTCTCATACCTCATATAACGTCTCTTCATCTATTGAATAAAAACTGGTGATGATGTTTCTCATCTTTGCCATCTTAACTGGAGGAAAAAACTTAGCCAAACATTTTTTAGGTAAGTCTTCCCATGTAGTAATTGTACCTATAGGAAGAGAATGCAACTAACTTTTAGATTTATCTGCTGAAGGAAAATAAAAGAGGCTAAATCTATTTGCATAAGTAGAAACACTATTATGTTTAAAAGTACTATAAATTTTTAAAAAATTAGAGAGATGTGCATTAGGATCATCATTTGAAAAATTCCCCAAACTGAATCTAGGTTTGAATCATCTGAATGATGATGGGTTTAATCTTAAAGTTGTTAGCATTGATACTTGATCGAACGATGCTAAATGAAGCTCCTACAAGTGAAGGAGTAGCAAAGTCCCTGAGTGTTTTCCCGTTATTCTCATTCAAAACATCCCTTACTCGTCCAATTTCTTCGTGTTTAACCGTCTCAACTTTTGTTTATCTTTTTACTGCTAAGTGTCAATTTCTCTCTCGATTCAGCTGTTTATAAGTCATTTTTATCTCTGAATTTATAGGAAGCAATACTATATTTTTTAATCGATTCACATACCAATAGAAAACAGAAAAGAAACGACCTAATCTGTTCATAAATAAAATAAATAAATAAAAATAATAATAAAAAAAATTACGCTTAAATTAAAAAATAAATAAATAAAGGTAAAAATAAAATAAAAACTAAAATGCAAATAAACTAAAAATAAAAAAAAAATATAATCATATAATAATTAAAAGTACTTGTATGAAAAATCGCAAACACTAGAATTCAAGTTTCATGAAAAAAAATTGGTAAAAATTTCTACAAAAATATATCCTAAAAAAAACTTAAATAAATATTACGTGATTATTTTTCTTCTTTCACTCCGCTCTTCTGCTTTCTTGTTCACACCACACCAGCTCGCATTCGCACAAATCTACTTCTCCTACTCAGGCTGTTGCTGCCTTTCGCTCGTGTTCATTGTATTTTCTGACAAAGCTCACACTTCGTCTCTTGGCCTCCAAGCTTTGTAGATCCAATTTCTGCCTTTTCTCTCTAGCTCTTATCTCTCTCCTCCAGATCTTCTTCTCTGTCTCTCTCTGTCTCTTTTTTGTAGGCAGCTGCAAGAGAGGAGATCCCCTTTCGAACGCCTCCTTTTTCCTATTAGCTCCTCCTCCTTTTATCTTCAAAGGCATACATGTCTCTTTCTGTTTCTGCAATTTTTTTTTCAAAACAGCATCATTTTGATCGTTGTTGGGATTTGGTTCCTAGCTCTCAAAACAGCATCGTTTTGGAGGGCAGGAGCTGGGTTTGAATGGAGTTGGGCTCAGGTGCTCCAAATATGGAGCTTTTGGCCTTGTTCTTTTTTTCTTCTTTTCTTTTCAGCATCTTTTTCCTCTTTTCTTCAACAATTCAACTTACATAAAATATTTAACTCATAAATTAATTTTAACTCAAAATGCATTCAAATTTATTATAAATTTAAGTAATAAAGACATCAAAAATATTATATAAAAAAGTAGCACATCACTTAACAACTTCAATCCATTCTCATTTAGATGTTCATAAAGCAAATGTCATAATCTAGACTCACTAATATTTTTAACAACAAAAGCATAATAATTAACTTAAGAAGCTTCAAGTGGAAACATTTTGTTTTGTGCCATTTAAATATTAACTATGACATGAACTAATTTCTTATCTTTAACACTTTATGAGTTATTATCATACAAGACTTCATACCGATTATTCATCAGTTGTCCAATATTTAATAAATTATAAGCAAAAAATAAGAATAAATTGCACATCAATTAAAATTTTAGTGTTAACATGGTTTGTTTTAATGGCAATTATACCCTTCCCTTCAATCTCAATCACCTTGTCATCACCCAACTAAATTGTTGATTTTTCTGCTTCATTAAGTTCTTTAAATAATGATTTTGAACCTAACATATGATTTGAACACCCATTGTCTAAAAATCAAACAACATCAGCAACATTTTTATCAAAAGAGAGAGAGCTGAATAACATATGCTTTTGTTCATCCCGTTACTCAGTCCAACAATAAGCCTTTGTGACCCAATTTCTCACAATAATAACACTTAATATGACTCTAATTTTGCTTGAATGATCTTTGTTTGCCAACTCGTCCTCTTTATCGTTGATTTCAATCACGACCTTTACTACAATAACCACTATAAGAACTACATCTATTTGAGACTTTGTCATCTGATTTAGTTTGAGATGATTCTCCTTTCACTTGAAAAGCCTTTTCTTTATATTTTCAATAATGATATGTTCAACATGTCCTCTTGAGCTTGCAAAGAACTCATTAAATCATCAAATGAAAAAGTAGATAAATATTTGGATTCCTCTATTACAACAACCATATAATTAAATTTAGGAGTTAAACTTCTTATTAATTTTAAAACCACAATCTCATCAATAATTTATTCACTACAAGCTCTCATTTGAGCGACAATTACAGAGGCCCTCAACAAAAGTATTTGAACAGATTCAAAGGTACCTCTTTGAAGCATTTCAAAGGTTTTATGAAGTGACTGAAGTTTGACAATAATTATCTTTGATGACCCTTGAAATTTTATCTTAAGAGTCTGTTAAGCTTCCTTAGAAGTAGTTGCTGCAAAAATTCAAGAGAAAATACCATTTGTGACTGGTTGTTGAAGAAAGAACAAAACTCTTGCATTATTTTTTCTATTTTCTCGAAACCTTTGCTCATCCTATTGGTCATTGTACCAATTTTTCACTAACTCCCATAATTCTTAAGACATAAATAAAGTTCTCGTTTTTATGCTCTAAAATTCGTAGCTCTCACCCTTGAACAAAGGAATTAAAGGTTGGAATGAGGTTTTTATACCATTAACTACCATTTTTTTTAGGTTTACGTGAACTGCGTTGTTGTTAGATATCTCTCTTTATTTTGCGTTCTCTTAATAAAAAAAATATGTTGGCTTTGATACCAAATACGTTAGCTGGAAAATAAAGCAAAAGACAATAAAGAGGATAAATTAAGATGAGAAAAGAGATTATTTTTTATTCACATCTTAAGTAAAGCAAAGAATTTTTATATAGGTTGTACAAATAACTAACAATCCAAATAGCAACTAACAGTAAATTTATAGGAGTTAATATTGAGAAAAATTTGATGCATATGTAAATTGTTGAATTTAATCGGGTGGGATACCCATGATGAGACTTGACTCGATTTGAATTAGTGATAACTGTTTAATAATTACTACTTCAAATTTAAAATAGTGGTTGGTTAACACATAAAAAAAAAAAGAAAAAATAACCATTTAGTAATATGTAAAAAATAAAAGGAAAAAAGTATAGAAAAAAAAACTCACTCTCTCTCCCTCAAAAAGGTTATATTTTTTGTGATTCCTATGAAAAAGAAAAATAATTATTTTGTTGATTTGTTTCTTCTAAGTCTGATTTTTACAAAAGTTATTTGTGACGTGAATATTTTCATATAATTCATTATTTATTAATGTGATTGCATCTATTACTATGCACATTGATCTTAAAAAATTCTATGAATTTCTATTATTGGTATCAGAGTATTTTAGTTAATTGAATATTTAATTTTTATTCCAATTTGCACTTTATTGAATTTTTTAGTAAAATTCATTTTTTACTTTTTTGGTAAAATAATTTTGTGTTTAATCACTCAAATATGTGCATTATTGATCTTAAATGAAAGTACAAACCAAGAGCTTTAATTTGGTATAATATTTGTAATTTTTTAGATAAAAAATGATATAGTTATGTATTTTTTAAAAAAATTAATTTTATTTAGAGAAAAAAATTTTGTCGTGATCTTGCGTATTTTCCATTTACCTGGTGCAAAAAAAAGTTTATTGATTCATAAATACCGACGCCCACTGTAATACCCAAATTAATTTTTATGTAATTTAAATTAATTTGTAAATGTAATTTTTTAAATTTTTTAATTTTAATTTAGTGTAAAAATGAAGAAAATTTGAAGGATGATGAAATTGAAAATAATTTTAGAAAAATGAGGTGAAAATTTAGATTCTGTGAGTATTTTTAAAAGAAAAATAGAAAACTATAGGTCAAAATATAATTTAGAAAAGTTATGCCATGTAAGATGCCGGTCAGCAGCTCTGACGAACTAAAACGTACCGCGTGGCAACGAGCACTGACGCGGTGCCACATGGGAGGCCACGCAGGCGATTCGTGTGCCCGCGATCGAATGGTCCAAATTCGCTCATGCACGCACGAACGACCCAGATGCGTTCCCTCCCTAAACGCGATCAGATGGTCATATTTGAATGCAATCAACAATTCAGATCCACTTTCTATTTAAACGCGATCGGATGGTTTAGATTCACTTCCTATTTAATCACGATCAGACAGTCCAAATCAAATGCGATGAACGATTCGGATTAAGAGGAGACGGATATAAATAACCCTCTCACACCAAATCCTAACCCTAGTCGCCAGACACTCTCGCCAGAGAAAAAGACCCAACCGCCGGGAAGGAGAGCTGTCGCCACCCGCCATTGCATTAGAGCCATTTTCGACCGCCAAAAGAGGTAAAAAATTTTCGCATCTGCTCAAAAATCAATTTTAAACACCCCCATGGCTAAATTAGAGCAAAAAGACCAGCTGATTGGTAGAAAACCGCGGGTGAAGCTTGACGTCACCATCGCGGGAAATTGTAAAAATCACCTCCAATGAGGCCTTTCCCAACTCCCGTTCTGCAAAAATTTTCCACCGTTGTAATCGCTGTTTCCTTCTCTACAGGTTGATCGAAGCAAAACACCCAACCACAAAAATGAGTCGGCGGAGCTGTCGCATCGGAGAGCCCAACAGTCGATGAGTTTCGATTTTTCATTTTTTTCCGGCCAACCGAGGCTCCTTAGCGTATTTTCTTGTAGGGATGATGTAAATCTGACCAAATTCGGTCGAAAATAGCTAACTCGAGGCAGATTGCCGCCATAGGCGGCAACGCCATCGTCGGAGAACGGCGGAGCCGCCGTGTCAGAATTTCAGAATTGGCTAAAAAGGGGTCCTAACACTGTTTTTGATTTTTTTGGGATATTTATAGGTACTCGTAGCGCGTTTTAATCCCTGAAGAAAAATTCAGAGAATTCAGGGACAACCGGTATGCGCAGTCAACAAGTTTCACTTTTTAAGTATTGAATTATGTAAAAATCTATCACCTTATTCTCTGTTATGGAATTGAAGTTTAATTAACAATAATACGTTATTTTGTGCAATCTAGAAAATATTCATAATTAATTACGGATTGTTAATGGAGCCAGAATCGGAAATTATTTTATATTGATTCTGTTGATTTATTTTACAAATTGAATGCATGATAGTTTTGAGTGCATGTATTATTTACCTTATGTGACTATGATTAAATTGAGAAACTAGGATGTAATTGTATTCCCTTATGCATGTTCTGTTTGTTTTATGTGATCACAGTGGAATTGAAAAACTGAAAATTAAAGGTAAATAGAAAATTATGTGATTAAGTGAATGAATGAAAGAATAGCCTTACTGGGTATTCTAGGAGATGGTGGACGGACTAGGTACATAGGAAACCCTATCGTGAACGTTGCCTCATACCGGACGGGGTATCAAGATTTGGTTATTTGGCGTTCATACGGGACGAAGTATGGGGACGACCCGTTTTACCCTCATACCGGAAAGGGTGTGAGGACGACCCGTTTGACCCTCATACCAGACGGGGTATTGAGATTTAGTGGTTTGACGCTCATACTAGAAGAGGTATGGAAACGACCCGTTAATTTAAAATATTAAAGGAAAGGGTTTACGCATTATGGGGACATCTCTATGAACCCACATGGATACCAATAGGCTTATAAAGGATATAATTATTGTTCAAATCGATTACATACGAAATCATGATCTGAGTTATGTTATTGTCTCTATAAGTTGTTTTATAAATCTCACTACGATAAGTAGATGGTAAAATATTTTATTTATGATAAATGAATTTGTTTAATTAAGAGCTCCATTAGTTATTTTGATTTTTCCACCAATCTTTATTTCTGTGTCGGTGAGTAACATAATATTCTTACTGGGTAGTGTAACTCATTCCTTATTTAACAATTTCAGATCAAGATGACCAGGATCCAGAACCTGATTCACAAGAAAGTTGCGAGTATGATACTAGTTTTATTTATTTTCTCTTTATTTCCTTAATTTTTTGTATTTCCTTCAAAAGAGTAATTCTTGTAAC